CATCATCATCATCATCATCATCATCATCATCATCATCATCATCATCATCATCACCATCATCATCATGGGGCCAAACTGTGAGATGTTGGCATTCCTTGTGAGTATATAGGAGTCCCTGCATGATGTGGTCTCATTAGTAAGGCGACTTTGCCTACCCTCAGTCCACACACCCGTAAATGAGTAGGCCGGTAGTCGATATAGAGACGGATCGTAATATGCAAAGGACAGCGTAGCCAATAATATGGCTTTGACAGGTTGCAAAGCCGTGCATCATAATACAGCATATAATTCTCGGTCTTGGTGCAAACAAGTATAGAATCATTATGTCAACGTCTGATTAAAACACAAGCTCAGTGCCATTCTGGCAGGCAATGCAAAGTCTGTCAAACAGGTTGACCACGATAACATGACAATTGGTAATGCGAAAATTGCATATTCAAGAAAAGTTAAGAATCTTGGCATCTATTTGGATTCCAGTTTGTCAATGTCGGCTGAGGTAAATCATCTGATCAACTGCATGCATTTAGAAATAAGAAAAAATAGTAAAATACGTCATCTGATTAATACTAAGTATACTGCTTTACTAGTTACTAGCTTAATTTTATCAAAACTCGATTATTGGAACTCTTTGTTATCAGGAATATCACTGCAGAAAGTTAAAAGACTTCACACTGTCCAAAACAATGCACGTTTAGTTTTACGGAAAAGAAAGCGAGACTCTGCTAAACCTCTTTTACGAACTTAGCATTGGCTTCCTGTTGAGAAAAGGATTGTGTACACGTTGGCCACCCTGTGTCACAAATGTTTGAATGATAATGCACCATCATATTTATCAAATCTGTTAAGACTATACTTTCCAACTCGCAGTTTAAAGTCATCAGCTGACAAAAATAAATTTATTTTACCATCTATGAAACTTAAAACAATGGGTGAAAGGGCATTTGAATACCAAGGCCCCAAGATCACTTGACTTTATCCACAAATAAAGTCAATACCTATGACTGGCTGACTTACGTTGCAGCAACATACATAATGTGTAAAGAACATCCCTATATAAAGCTATTGAAACCTGGACTGCAAAATAGAACAAATTAATAATAAATTGCAGTTACACAGCGCATTTTCACGAGGATAGTTATACTCGTGAATTTTTCACCTCCTCCCCATCATTCTCTCTCTCTCTCTCTCTCTCTCTCTCTCTCTCTCTCTCTCTCTCTCTCTCGTTTTACGATGGATAATCTCCATTTTCGGTAGACTATCATTTTCAATTAAGCTACAAATAAGTTTGAATTAGCTTGACTGGGTAGTCTCACTAAGGGTTCTTATGGGAACAAAAAGAATGTCACCCATGTACTACATGTATAATACAATGCACTAACGTTCCAAATGGTTCAGTTGAGCCCAATCCTGAAAAAAAGAAACGCCCCAATGACTACAAAAAATAATTTAAAAAAAAAACAAACCCAAAAAAGACCCCAAAAAAGACAAAAAGGGACAAAAATAGAAGCAACAGAAATAATGTGGTTTCTTTTGGAGACTTGAGAATTTCTTGGAAGGAAAAGAAATTAAATTGTGAGATAGGCCTACCTAAAGAAGCCCCTCGGTCCGCTCGCAGATATAATGTAATTTCTGAGAACTTACAATGACAAAAAGGCCTTTATAAATTGACCATGCAGCTCTCATTGATTGGTAAAATTGAAGTAAAACGAGGCACAGGTATACCAAACAGATGGGTAACAGGGATGCTATTACATGTATAGCTTTTTAAAGTTTGGAGAGTATTTGAACAAAGGTATGAATGAATGGCGAACCCTGATCGTCGACGTCTGTCACAGACCTAATAATTAATTATGATTATTATCATATTATCATCATGACAGAATACAAATAGTAAGTAGATCTGAACAAAATTCGAGGTTGTTTAGTGAATAAATAAAAAGATTTAACTTTTGAATTTCAGTCCCCCGAAACGAAACCTCGTCTCACAATCGTGGTTTGACTTTTACTAATCAAGATGGCGACGACCATAAGGTCCAGTTCCTCGAAGAGGTATGTTATGTTATAATGTGCACCATGTTGTAAATTATGTAGTCGTGCAGAGCTTTCTTTTTTCATTTACTCATCCCACCATCTTTCAGCTACAGAAGCAAATAGATCCTGCAATATTGATTGATAGAGTGCGAGGAAAGACACGTCCTGATGATTGATGCCTGATTGCCTGATTTGCCCATCCATGCCTGGGCTGGGCCATGCCACACAATCACAATCATCATAGATCTAGAGATAGATCTAGATATATATAGATCTATATAGATTTCTAGATCTAGATTCTAGCTTTACATTACATTGCATGCCTCATAATATTAAATGATTTTACCCACACTAATCAACAATGAATAATTAAATTACCTATTTTATAATGGTAGCGTCAATTGCCACCGAGTGAAGCGGTGTCAAGTCTCAAATTCAAAACAACACTATCATTAGCAATACAAATTGTGTGTCTAGATCTAGATCTAGATCTAGATATAGATCTCTAGATTTAGATTTAGATCTAGATTCTAGATCTCTAGTCTAATGGGTCAATTTGTTCTCAACTAATTTCATTGAACGAGCATCTAGTCTAGAGCTGCGGTACCAACTTGGCGTGTTTTCAATGAGACGTAGGGCTAGATCTAGGCTAGCCTTAGCCTACACTTTGGTGTAGAACCAACACAGGCAATTCTAGAAGTAGAAGGTCACAAACGCACACAAACTCAAGCAGAAATTCACGTTATATCGGGGAACATAAATTGGGGGACGGGGGTCAGGAAAAAACACACACACACACACTGAGGGACAGAGAGGCGAACGCACAACACCGAGCATTCGAGCACAATAAGCTAGATCTACCCACCAACGCAAAAGAGCTCCAGTTTACTCGGTGGCAATTGACACTACCATTTTAAATTGCCTTGTCAGTTCAACAAAGATTTTTTTAGTCCTAGTTCCCCCACACTGTTTTCATGTATAGATCTAGATCTAGGTAGACTACATTCACACTAATTTGACTAATCACACACTCTAAGCTAACCAGTACAGTCAGTCAGTCAGCTACATTTTACAATTCACAGTGTCTATTAAAATTCGCAGTGACTACGTTCAAGGCGCCGTGAATGCAGTTTGCAGGCTATGTTCATGGTGCCCTGTAGTCCTTGTATTATTAAAGCTTTTCAGTGGGGATGCACTGCAGTCAATTTAGAATCTAGATCTACTGTGAATTGTTGTTTTACCTTTTGCAGTGACTACGTTCACAGCGCCCGGAATGTAGAATCTAGTTTTCAGTTTAAAAATGATCTTGCTCACTCCACCCCCTACCCTTTTCCCTCTTCTTTTTTTCACCCGTCCTGCCCCTCTTTCCGCCTTGGCCTTCTTCCATTCTCATGTTTCTTCCAACGACTTCTATATTTTCAAAGCGCTTATATGACCTTGTGCAGTTGCGAGCCGTAAAACCCTCTACTATAAAAAAAGGGAGTGTATACAGACCCGGTAACCTGGCTCAGGGTAGACCTAGGTTCTTCAAGATCTTTGTCCAAGTTCTGGTTAGTCGCACCCGAGGGAGCTAAAGATTTATTTTCGGATGCCTTGGTGAATCTTTTAAACGCTCGTTTGCATCACGTGACATAACTTTGTACGTGTGAGTAGCGCATGTGTCAGGGGCTGTCGGTTATCAGGGTCTGCAAAGTTAATTCACACGAGTTGCATTGGTTGAGGTGTTTTTCAGGACTTAAGGACAACAGGGGGGGGGGGGGGGGGGGGTGGCAGTATTTTTTTTACACTTGGGCATAAAGTGCTTACTGTGATACATGTACTAATTGAAGATAAGGGAATAAGTAAAAAAACCCAAAAAAAACAGCCTTGACATTGGCACGATTTGTGTGTGTGTGTGTGGGGAGGGGGGGGGGGTGGCTTGAGTGTATAATATATGCGATGGAAGTCAAATTTATTACTGTATGAAAACGCGCGCCTTTTGCAGGGATGATTAAGACTTTTGTGTAAGCTATTTTCAAGACTATGAGAGTTTCAGCATCCCTGCAACCTGCAATCCTACAGTCTATCCAACTCAGACTCGAGTATGTGCTCTCTGTCAATTTATTCCCTCTTCTTTGAGGCCAAAGTGTGAACGTATCCCTGTTAAAGTTTTGTCTTGCATGCTTGCCTCATAAAAGGGGGCTTGGGGCCCCCTCCCCCTCCCCAGTGCCTTTTATGACTGATTTGTCGCTGATTGCGATTTTTTAATTTTTAAATTTCATAGAGTGGCAGGTCTGTATTCTCAATCGCAGTTGTTGAGATTCCCAACTTCGCACTTTGTGACCCCATCGCCGAGTCAGTCTACAAGTCCTAGATATATAGATTTTCGTCTTATCGGCATTGGACAAGTGGCAAAGTGGGGATAATTTACAATAAAAATTAAAGAAACGGACGATAGTGTTAGCCCTGAAAAGGTAAAACAACAATTCACAGTAAGCTGACTGCAGTGCAGCCCCAGAGAAAAGCTTTAATATTACACAACCTACATTCAGGGTGCCGTGAGTATGGCCTGCAAATTACGTTTATGACGTTGTGAACATAGTCACTGCGATGAAAAGTACAAAGTTCTATCTGTTCAATACTAGTTTTGAGAAATTTGACGTTAAAAATTTTGAGTTTCACAAGCTTTTTTGAATGCAATTCTTTGAATATCTTGATAACAACTCCATATATTCTTATGATTTTGATAGAGCAGATAGAACAATTTTGTTCCCCATGGTCGTAGTAATTCAAAACCGTAAAACAGTCAAATATGTCTGATACAACTTTGTAATTCTAAGGTAGCTGGTAGTCTTACAAATTCCAGCTCTACCTACACTCTACATGTGTCATGTCAGTCATGTGCCATATTATGTTTTTCATGACTGTCTGGTATGGAATTTAGTATTTCCTTGTTATGGCAATGTGCAATTTCTTTCCAAATTTTTTGCTACTCTGTAGGTCTAATAGTGCAGGTAAATAGGAGACATTCCAAAGAACCTCTCCTGTTTCAAATTCAGAGAGGTATCTTAGCTTTCAGTACCGATTCTGTGTTTAAACAGTATCAGGCTGTTACTATTATTTTTGACCAATTTAACAATTTCCCATTTTCTTGAAAACTGGTGATTGTTGCGTTAAGTTATTATTTATTTTGATGGCGTAATGCAAGTGGGAATCTTTCTGGTTGGAATGCACCCTTCTACATCACCTTCATGAGATGATAAACTGTTTATTTCACAGAAGGATGTGTTCAAAACTGAAAAATTGTGTCTGTAGTGCTTTTCTTTTCTTTTTTTTTAGGAAAAGCAAAATGAATCAGGAAGAAGATGCCCATCACCTGAGTATGCTCATGATGCTAGGATCTCAGCTTCTGTCTGGTGGGACATTCAACGAAGGACTACCAAGCTTTGTAACTCGAGGCTTAGACGTTGAGCAGATCTGGCAACAGCTTGAACTGAGAAATGAGCACAAGTCATCTTTGACAACATGCACAAGAAATGCTGCCAGGATTCAATCACGTCAAAATAAAAAAAAGAAAGGTGCTAAAGGAAAAAAGGTTTTGGAAGAAAAGGCAGAAGCTGCAGAGGAAGGTCAGTCAGATGATTCAGATGAAGATGGTGAAGATGATAGTATTCTCAACTCTATCAAGAAACGTTTAGAAGAAAATCCAGCAGATTCAGAGGATGATTTTGGTGATATGGGAGACAGTGATGATGATGCTGACCTCGACTTTGATTTTAAGGTTGACAACGAACTTACTAAAGGGTTGTCAGATGATGAAGACAGTGACGCGCCGAATCGGAAAAAAGGTGTTCAAGCAGGGAGTAAAACCTCTAAAAGAAAGGCACCCAAGAGAACCACTGTTGTTGATGATAAATTCTTTAAACTTGCGGACATGGAAGAATTTCTAGATATTGAGGATGGGAAAGAGGAAAAGAAGGCAAAGCAACAAACGAAAGGTGCTGGTGAATCAGATGAAGATGATGAAGATGACAGTGAGGAGGAGGATGAAGATATTGATATGTTCGGCGACATGGAATCTGATGAGGATGTAAGTCTTGTATGTTGTAGGCTAGTTATAGTCTTGTATGAAATGTCTAAGAACTTTTGTCGTCTGTTGATAATGTCTTTACAGATATCTGTGGTGTAGCTATAAGGCTCTTCTCTGTATGTATGCTGAAGACTCAAGTTCAATTTTTGTGTGAGAAAGTTATTTTTTAGAATACAACGTTCACTTAAACCGAACACGATACAAAAATAGCCTTTATAATAATGACTGATGTTGATTAGCTGAAATGTTCTCCTTTCTAAATCGAAAAGAGGTTCGAGGGTTATGCCATCTAAATCTTTACTTGCAACCATCATGAAAAGGAAATCATTGAGTCCTACCCTCTTCAAATTGACGAAGTAGAAGAAAGAGACACAGTGGGTGATTGGCAGGTGCTCTGATATGGTTTACTTCTTCTTTCCTATCAAACATCAATCTTCTTTCTATAAACCTCCCCTCCTCCTTATCTTTGTATGTTACTCTCAGGTAACACCTCTAATCTTTGGCAATTGTGGACCAGAGACAGGCACTGCTAGTGTACTGTTTGACTACATAATTTATTATCAATGTATGTCTGTAACGTGACTTGCGGGTGATCATAGTCTGTTGCCTCTGCGAAGCTAGTACAAATAGGCTCTTAACAAGCACGTGAAGTCACGAATGTTTCCTGACGTCACTGGCATCCGGCTTTCTTTCTCCCTTGTATAAAGAACTCTTTTGTCCGTTCTGTGTGGCTATTGGGCATATTAAGCAAGCTAATAATATCGAAGAGAGAGCACTACTATTAGTTCAGCCTGCAGTTCAAATTGCAGTTACTGAAAGAGATAGAAATGAGAAAAGAAACGTCCTAGAGTGAATTTTGCCGCAAGCATGGCAGTCCCAACTCTGTGCTTTTGATATTCATCTGTATTGCAGTTTGAGCAACCCTCTCTAAACCAATGAAATTTCAGAGCTGAAATGTTCTTGGAAGATGCAAATTTACACATTTTGTGCCTTTGATCAACATTTTTCAGTAAAATCCATGCAGGAATGTGTTTTTAAGCATACACAAAAAGGTGTTGAGCCTGAAACAAAGAAAGTCAGTGAGAATTGCCAAATGTGCAGAAAAATGTCAATTTCTTAATTTTCATCATTTTGATGAATGCCTGATTTCATTACTTTGTAACAGATGTTTAAATTTCTTATTTTTGATTAAGGGCATTATTGATTTGTTCACACATTGTTGAAGTAATCTTAAAAGTTTATTTTAAAAGAAATTAGAAATAAAGTGATGATTGAACTTGTCAAATTTTTCGATTTTTGCTTATTCCCCTTTTCCTTCTGAACAGGATGCTGGTATTGCTAAGTATGCAGACTTCTTTGATCCGCCATATGAAGAATCAGAGGATAAGAAGCCGAAGAAGAAAGCTGAAAAACAAGAAGAGGAAGCTGGTGAAGATTCAGAAGCAGACAGCGAAGATATCTTAGAAACCTCAGGTCTTGAAAAAGATGATGACATGGAGGATGACGATGAAATGGAGGAAGAGGATGAAGAATTGCAAGAGGAGGCAGATGGTGAAGATTTGGAGGAGGAGGCAGATGAGGATGATGGAGAGGAGAACCAAGAATCTGAAGAAAAAATTAAAAAATCTAAAGCGTCTGCAGCAAAGAAAAAAGTTTCCTTCACTAATGACCTTCTGCAAAGGTTTGTGCTTTATTTTCTTTATCTGTATGTGGCACTAGGCGTCAGAATGTTTTTTAAATTGTATCATTGTCAGTAAGTGGTTGAGCAGTTGATAAGACAATTTCTGATTTAGATGGAAAAGTTGAGACCATTTTAAGATAAAATTACATCTCTTGATGTATCTCAGTACACATCTTTGAGACTAGCTCGTGCAATTTTCACATTAAGAGAACAATTTTGTTTGTTATTTCAAATGGAAGACAGTAATATGGCAATAAGGTCAAGAGGTAGTAATTCTGTGTCCTAGCAGAATATAGGATATTTAAAAAAAAATCAATTGTAGCAGTAGGCTTACTCTGAAGCATGTAAGATGCGAAGGAACTTAAAATTTAATAAAGTTCTTGGTGTTGTTTCAGCATTTGTCGCTGCATGTTCTCATTCTTTGTCCACTTACACTGTTCTTTATGTTGTCCTGTTGAGACTCTTGTATTGTTTCCTCTCCTGCTCATAGTGATGAAGAAGAGGCCGCTGAAGATGCTGGGGAGACTGACAAAGAAGCAAAGTCGTCATTTGAGCTGAAGCAAGAACAAGTAAGTCCTGACTTATTTGTAGTAAACAGTATTATGTATGTTATAAGAGCTGTGCTAAGCAACTTTCTTTTTGATAGTAATACTACTACTTCTTTCTGATGAATATTAGTAGGCAGTGCTCCTATAGGGTTTGTGCTGTACTGATGTTTATTTCATGTTTTGTGATGATGACTTATGTGACAAATTAGGCCAATGTGGGTTAGAAGATGCCAGTTGCAGTAAGTACAATAAAATTATAGTTTTTCTGTCTGATGTTGCATTGTTTTGCATCTCTTTGGGGGTTGTGTAGTTGTCGGAATCTTTCATTCTGATACTGTTTTTGGTGTCTGTCTTCTAATGACTGTATTCTGAAGTCTTAGGGTTGATCTCTATTTAGATTGTTTCCCCTTTGTAGACAGTTACAGCTGTGTATCTTAGCAGAAGTTGACCATTCTGTCCTTCAGTTTGTTATGTTTCTGGTTAAGGGTTTATTTGGTTTACTTCCTTCTTCCATGGGATGTTGGTACCCAGGGTATCTGGGGTATTTCTTTTGAAACGCTGAACTGAGTTTATTCAATTATTTTCACAGTACCTCAGCCCTTCCTACCCCGTAAAAATGCCAAAGCAGCAAACAAGTAAAAGGAAGAGCAGGTGTCTTCTTTTGATATTTCAGCCCCTGTGCTATTTTTACCATCAGTAAAAAATGATGTGCTGTTTTGAAAGACCCTAGTTTGTGCTCGTATTCAATAGGAGGAATAATTATTTGCTAAATTATAGTAAGTCTTTAGTTTGCGAAATTAATTCTTGCATCATTTTTTCTTTCAGTGTTCAAATTTTTTAAAGAGTTGGGGATGGGAATGTCTTGTGTCTATCGACCTTACGTTTCTGGGTATATTATAGGCTCATCATGTCCTTTTCTCCCTTTACAGCTCCAGAAGAGAGCAAGGGAAATGGAAGAACTGAGTCTGAAGGAAGCTACATGGGAATTGAAAGGCGAAGCTTCTGCTTCTAAGAGGCCTGAAAACAGTCTTCTGGAAACTGTTCTTGACTTTCAGCATACTTCTCGTGCAGGTAAAGGTTGGCTAATGCTGATGGGGTAAAAGGGGCTGATTTTAAAGTGACTGCTATGCTATTGGTAATCTAACAAAAAACACGGAGCATTGGGAAAAGACCAGGGAAGTTTGTAAATTCTTCCGGTAAAGCCCTTGGAAAATTAAATTTTATTTCCCTGCTGAAAGCTGGAGATATTTTATGATCCTTGTTCCTTGTCAGGAATGTTTGCTGCTTTGGTCTGCCTTTCCTGTTTTAGGGAGTGGTTTTCATGCACAAACTAACTATAACAGAAGTGAGTTTTCATGCTGGGCTAGTGGTGTTTAATGAAGTTCTTTTGACTATCACTTTCTGACTGGCTAGTTAAAAGACATTGTTTTGCTCCACCTGGGCAAGAAGTGGTGAAAGAGAAACAAAATCACCAGATGCCTTTGTCTTAAACAAAAACCCCCAAAAAACTAAAGGAGCAATGGAATGTATTATATATAAGCTATGCAGACTGTCTTAGGCAATTAAGGTCTAATTTAATTTTCCTACTGCCGAAATGCCCTGAGCTTTTATTCTTATGACAATTTGTTCAACAGCTCCTGTGATCACAGATGAGACCACAAAGACACTGGAAGACTATATAAAGCAGAGAATAAAAGACAAAGTAAGTAATATATATTGACCTGTATGTGTATATTTTTTGTTCTAGCTTGCTCTTTTGTGTGCCCGCTATCACTTATATAATTCATGAACCCTGTTTTGCTGATTTTAATATCACATTTGTGGAAATGTGGGCCAATTTTTTCTTTTCTTGAATCGCCTCCTTTTATTCTCCCTTGTACATTTATTATTTTAAATCTGCCGTTGTCTCTAAACATGATAAGAGTATAGTATGAACAGCTTTGGGGGGGGGGGGGGATGACAACCTTTTGAGGATGTCTCAGGCTGATCCTCCTGCCCTTTCTTGTAGTGTTCGTATTGCTTTGATCTCTTGTTTCTTCTCCCAGTGAAATATGACTTTTTGTGACTAAAGGGTGATCCAAAAAAAATTTTACAACTTTTTTTTCTGAATATCTCGCACAAAAATTGTTCCTGAATGCTGTAATTTGAAACAGACATAATTCATTCAAAAGGAATTTGTTTGATATAAAATCCACGAAGAAGAAACATGTTTTGAAAATGGAAACGACTAAAAGAAAAAAGCACCCAAAAACGCGAAGTTCACCAATGTTTAAAAATCTTGTAAAGGAAGTCGTGAAAAGATTTATTTTCTCTTTGACATTAAATTTCCATCCCTGTGACAATTAAACAATATTCAATTTCTTTTACAGAGTTTTAAAAACGTAATGATTTCATTCTGAAATTTCTAGAAGCAGTGCTCCACATTCCCTCCTTTGGACTTGACACATTTTTAACGCGTCATTCGAAGTGTTCAGTGACGCCCTAACGCGAGGACCTGCTAAACCATGAGTTTTTAAAGCCGCATACACTGTACATGTTCACTAAGAAGTGGCTTTTAGAGACAATTGAGTTGGGTGCCCAGTAGACAGCATTTTTGGAGTTAACATATCCCGCAGGGTGAAAATGGGCTTTGCACTAAACCAAATGTCATTGACGAAATGATCCCTCTTTACAAGACAATCGAGGAATCATGAACACATTGCCATGCTCTGATCCATGTCATCTCGGCCTAGCGAAGATGAAATGGTATAGTCGTAGGTTAAGATCTGCCGTGAGAATGCAGACTCTTGAGATGTAGGAAAGTCCTAGCTGCAGATCGTCTACGGACAGACATGTCATGCGACTCGGCTATTGAAATCTGCACTCTGGTGACGTTTAAAGAGCTGCGCATATTGCGTGTTTGACCTGAAGTGGTCATTTTATAAAGAACTTTTCAGTTCTGATTCGCTATAGATCCAAACTGACGGAACTTCTCTACTCACGATGCCAAAGGTCTTGAGGACACCTAAGCATTCTCTCCATGCGTGCGAAATGTCAGGGATGGTGAGTTTGTGGAGAGGTAATGTTCAATACAAAAAGCTCTCTGCTCTTTACTAAAAGTAGCCATGATCTGAGCAGGCAAACAAAATTTGGGGAAAATAATATCTGCAGACTTCTGTTGACTTGTTAGACTGTTGTAGCTTGCAATATGGTGCGATTGTTACACACTTTTAGTGGTAGGCCTAATGCGAACTGGTGCGTCATGCTATGAAAATGGCGACAAGGTTGAAAATGGGTTGTTTTTTTAATGCGCTATATAGAGCAAAATCTTTCAATGGACTTATCTAAAATACATATCAGGAAAATTCCTTTTAGTTTCCATACATTATGTTCAAATCTGAAAAGCAGAACTTCAGCATGGAGGAAGATATTTACAAAACAAGTTGTAAAGTTTTTTTGGATCACCCTTTACTTAAAAAAATATCAAATGTCAAATGGAAATGATGGTTTTACCATCTGATTTTGAACAAGTGTCTGATGTACTCACTGAATGTTCCTTCCTTACAGGCTTTTGATGATGTTGAGAGGAAAGAAAAGCCGAAGGAAGATGCTTTTGAGTTCAAGAAGAGAATTGTGCTGGACCAGGAGAAGAGCAAGCTAAGTCTGGGAGAACTGTATGAGCAGGAGTTTCTCAAGCAACAACAGGTGCGAGGGTTTGATGTTGTGTCATTCTTTAGAGCTGTTGATGTGAAGCCTTCTTTTTTTCGTTGTTCTGTAGAAAATAGAAAAGTGACTATTTACTGGCTGACTTGCTACACAAACAGACTGAACTCTAATGCATTTGAAAGCTATAATGATATTGAGTAAATTTCTAGCTGTCTTTTAGCTTTTTGTGCTAAGAGTATATATATTGGATTTCTATCATTCTTTTGGGAACATTTCTCTCTTCTGTGTGGGACATCAAAATATGAGATCCTCATTGTGTTTTGTGGGTTTTACCTGTTGGTATTTATACATCTTTTTATGATCTCTTCCCTTTCTTGCTATTTCTTTGTGGATTTCGTTGCTGAAGCTAGCCAGCTTGTGTAAAGTAACCAATGTGGGAAATATTCAGAATATTGTTGAATATTGGAATTTTTTTTTCATTTAATTTTGGTTTTGATGGAGCTAGTATTTTTTTTCTTTTTAAAAAGATTCCAACAAATTTGATTTCCTTTATGATGTCTCCAGCAAGACGATGAAGAAGTCAAAGAAGATCCTGAGTGTGAGAAAATAGAGAAAGACCTGAACAAATTGTTTCACCAGCTTGACGCCCTCAGCAATTTCAGATTCACACCCATGAAGGTAATGGTTTTTGTCCTCTCGGTCCTTCTATTTTGGCTGAACTTTCTGCATCCTCTTGCTTTGTGCCTAGTCACCGTTTGTTAATTTGTATTGACTTTCTTGATTTCTATGCTGTTTTGTTTTCCATGTCTTCTCTGGGTTAATGTTATACCTGGGTGTTTAGTTCTTGTACTTATATTGGTGATTAGTTTGTAAACGGCCATCTGCCCAAGACAATCACTGCTGTACAAATGACCATTGACCACCGTCCACTCTCCCACCCCCTCCCATACACCCTGTTTTCCCCTTAAAAACATAATGAAACTGTCCAAGATGTCCACTTGTCTAAGACAGTCACTATTTTCCTGACGATGGATGGCTGTCTTTGACAATTTGGACTGTATTATTAACTCTTTCCGGACGTAGTTTTTTTGGGGGTCTAGATGTAATTAACTTGTCGCTCGATTTGGCTAAAGGGTGGTGCACAAAATAACTTTATATAAGCATAACCATCACTCAAAATGTAGCTTATGATATATCAAATTGAAGGACATTGAATGAGGAATACATTCCAACATTAAACAAGGATTAATTTTGAACGTAAGTATACATTACAAAGGTTAGAAATGGCAATGGTGATGAGAAAAATAAAATTTGACAGAAAAAACTACATTCACCAAACATATGAAAGCAAATCAGCATAGCTATCTTATCATATACAGGCCAAGAGCATAATCAATAAATTTCTGAATGTGCAGCTTTTTATTTGAAAGCAATATTCCTATTTTTGTTTGAGTTATGATATTTATACTGAGTCCGGTTACATGTTTGTAGATGCATGACTGCAAGAACTAATTCACTCGTTTTTCGCCAAACCGACACTTTGAGAAACTGAAACTAGATGTTTTCGTTTCTTAAATCCTTTCCAAGTTTTCAATAACAATAAAATGTAATTATAAATGACGGATCATGTTAAAACGAAACAATACTGAGACACCCTGTCACAGCTGATATATTGGCGATACGTCCGGAAAGAGTTAAAGCGGTGTATGATGCTCTGTTATTTGTGATCTGCTCTACTGTTTTGGTATTACTATTTCTTATCTTTTTTTCTTGCATAGTATGGTCATTACAGTGGAATCCTGTTATAACGAGAGGGAGGGGACCGAAGCAAAATGTACGTTATAGCAGGATTCTCGCTATAAGGGATCCAGTAATAAATTCAAGGGAAATTGTAAAGTAGGCCTAATCTATGAGTTTGGTGTTCTGTTTCTCCTTTTGCTATCTCCCCTGATGATGATTTTGTTTCAACATGACCTCTAGGTCTTACTTGATCAAAAATCGAATCAGGTTTGTTTCTCTTGCGCTAGATCTACCGAAGTGGACTGACAGCTCGGTGTTGGCGATCAGAAAGAAAGGGCTCTGGGCTAACTCGCCCGCTGTGTTTTCCCCCCACCCCACCCCACCCTGTGGTGCATTCTGTCTGCTTGCGCACGTCACACATTCGCTCCTTCCATCACATTGATGTGACCTCTCCATCCCCGCATCTGAGAAGTGAGAGGCATGGAAGGCCTTGATAATCTAAACTGGCCTATCACGCGATGCGTTCTGCTTGTCTGCGCATGCCACACCCTCCCTACTCAGTTGCTCCGGCCTTCATTGTTGACGCACATATGCTCTCCTATTCTTTGTTTCGCAAGATCAGCAACAAGTTTCTCAACTGGCGAGGTCTTGCGTTATGTATAATTGGCCTATGCCATGTGCACAGTAGCAGCAATATTCCGCTACAACCGACTCACAAGTTTGTCTGATAGCGCTATAGCAGTATTTTGTTTACAAAGGTAAAGAGGAGAAAAAAAATGGAGTTTTAGAATACTGCCTTTATAACAGACTTCTCGTTTTTGCCTGACTCGTTATAAGTGGACTCCACTGTATTGCTAAACTCACAATAAGCTACTTGTTTAGAGGAAACTGTCTCTATCACATTGAGTCAGTGCAGTTAGAACTTTAAAAAACTTTTCTTATCCTATGTTTCTCTTGGATGGTTCAAAATCTAGCGTCCTAAACAGTATATATTTAATAATAGCAGAATTTAATCCTTGTCTCTCAAAGCTGCCTTCCTTTTGAGGTATGAATGGTGAATGATTACTTGGGCGTATTGTGTTCAGTGGCATGTGGCATGTCTGGGGGGGGGGGGGGTAAATTGGGTTTTAATTGTTGTTTCTTGTATGTTTGAAAGAGAAAGGTGATAGTGGATGCATTTTGTTCTTAATGATTAAAAATATTGAAAAATAAAACAATATTTCATGTTTTCCATCTCAGCCGGGCACTGAAGTGAAGATCATTGTGAACACGCCAGCCATCGCCATGGAGGAAGTAGCACCAGTTGCTACAGCAGATTCTGAACTTTTGGCACCAGAAGAAGTTTATGTAAGTAGTTCATATATGAGGCTACTATTGTTGGGCTGTATAGACTGAACAGATTTTCTGTTTGAGAAATAATATGGTTGCTTTGGAAGAGTGGTTAAATTGATTCTTCTTGCTGTAAATTATATTTGATCTGTTCATTACAACCCTCCATTGATGTGATTGAAAGGAATTGTTTCTTCTTCTTACATTTTCCAAAACTGCAACAATGCTTGCTTGACTTTCCGTAAATCTTCCGTCCAACAGACTGGTCAGGTCCAGCTTTTAATTTTGCTGAGTCTGCAGTTTTTGGCCTCTCAGACAGGAGCATTTCAGATCAATAATGCCATGCGAACGTCTGTCAGATTGCAATGCTGTGTTTGCAGCATTTGTTGGCTTTATTTGTGTAGAGTTTTTAAATATCCCTCATCAGACATGTAGTTTCGTTTCAATGGAGGAATTTTCTGTTGCTTGATGTCATTGCAAAATGTCTAGCCTAGACTGACTATTTTGGAGAAATGGAAAGACTAGCTATGACAGGCACACACTTGTTTGTTTATGGTTAATATTCTTGCAGTGTTTAGTTCCTGACCTTGACCCATCACCTAAACAGTCCTCAATACTACTGTATCACACACTTGCATCCATCTGTAGTGACTGTCTGGGAATAGAATTTATTACGGATGCATTTTTGTTCTTCTGTTGACCATCCGCGATGATCCACACCTGGCTAACTACCACACATGCTATTTTGAAATTGCTCTGTAATCTGTTAATGCAAGGTGTTTGATTGATTTTGATAATAAAACCCTTGAGATTTCTTTTCTGTTCCCTGTTAGTTCTGTGTCAGTGATTTTTGAGAGGTTTGCTGTATTTACATTTTTAACAAAGGGCCTTGTTTTTCTTTTTCAGGAGAAAAAGAAAGGTGATGTGAAAGCTAATGAAGAAAGGACTTCAACAGACAAGAAGAGAGCCTTGCGACAGAAGAAGAGAGACAAGAGAGAAAGAAAGAAGGCAAAGGAAGCTCGCGAGAAGGTGGTGCAAAAGATGAACCCTGGTCTTGGTAACAAATACAGTAAGGAGAAAGCAAGGAAGGAACTGGAGCAACTGAGCAAGTCGGACAGGAATGTGACCATGATAAAGGTGAATTGTTAGTGAAAGGATGTGCCAGCTATTGATTAATGATATGGATATTGAAAATTTAAATATTGTATTCTGTTCTAATTTTACTAATGGGTTTTAAAAAAAAATTTATGTAATGTAAGGCGAAATATTCTCATAATCTTCCTTGATCGGTTCAAGCTAGAAATTTATTCTCTTTGAGACTTCTGCTGTGTTTTTTTTTTGCCTGCTCAGTGAGTGTTTTTTTTTTTTAAGAATGTGTGAATTTAGATGTTTGCGTGCCATGATTTTTTGCTCGTTACAGTTTTGGAAAATTCATGTGAAATTTGACAAAATGATTCTGCTTTTGACTGAAGTGTGAATGAGTATGTTTTTGTGTTTTTGGTTGAACGTGATGAAGAGAGTAGTTTTCTGCGCTTCATTCAAAAGGATAGAGGCCAGATGAACAAATCTTTTTAAATGATGCCGTGTGCTGCTTATACTCTCACATACCGTACTTATTATATTTCTTCTCATTAGGTTTCAAATCATTCGTTTAACCAAAACTCAGGCTTGGGGTGAAAGTGATTTCTTTTAATTCTGAGAAAAGCAATTTAGTTTTGTTCTTGTTTTACTGGAACTAGAAGTGTTCAATGGATGAGGGCAAAAAAAAAAAAGAAAAGGTGAAGTGGCTGGTGTTAACGGTAACCAGAGGCAGTGGTAAGAAAATGAACTCACAAAAAAGCAATCATTATGGTGTCAGGGGCGAGAGGGGGGAATATGAATATGTTCTCGTCCTTTATTTTTTAACATTCTATATTTCAATGCTTTGTTCTCCATCTTCCTGACAGTATATATTCTAATGTGAGTTTCCCCCCCCCCCCTAAATTCTCAACCACAGGGTGATCGACAAAAACTGGGATCTTCAACAGCATTTTTCAGCCAGCTTCAGGATGAGGTACAGACAAACGTCAAAGCCAAAAAAGTGACTAAGGATGCCAAGAAAAGGAAGCTTGATCCCAGCTTAATCATGTTGTGATTGACACTTTGTTCTGTTCAATAAAAGATAAAATATGTAAATATTTCATGTGAAGGTTGTGTTTTTTAATTGTTACTTGTTTTGTGCTCCAGTCTATCATTTTTTCAGAATGTGGATCTCATTGTGAAGAAATCTATGCGCTTTTTTTTCAACTGAAGTACAAAAGAAGTGCAAGTACCTTATGCTGCTGTTTGTGTGGGTACCATGGCATTATTGACCAACATGCCTGGAGAGTGTCAGTTGTGCTTTTGACTGCAAGTTAAAAATTATTACCTGGTGTTTGACTATTGGTTAGTCACAAGGACGTTAAATCAGAGGTTCCATCTCTTAAATAGTCTTTGATTGTTTCTAGGGGCATTAAACCTATACAATTTTGCACACTTTTCATTCACCACGTAGTGTGGGATGTGACATTTTAGAATTGCAAATGATCTCTGCAGGTGGGTAGAGTTGGAGGCTGCCATGCATTAATCCTACCTCTTTGTTTTCCCTGTTATGTTTCTGTCTTGCCCTCTTTCTGTGCACTAAATGGCCTTTTTTGTGTGTCAAATATGCTTCTATTTTATGGAAAAATGAAAGGTGGTCTCTGGAAACCTTGCCAGTTATTTGTGTTGCAGTCCCAGCTCCTTGTATGATAGTTGACAGGCTCCGATTCCGACTAGTCAGAAGTTTGGCCATAGTCAGTCGCGATGCCGACGTGCAGCCGTGTGTCCTCGCTGCGGCAAGACTGGGCATCCTGAAAAGGAATGCAAGGCTAGTCCTTGCTGCCCAAATTGCCAAGGCCAGCACACAGCCTTCAGCAAGGATTGCCCGACTTGGATTCAAGAACGCGCA